TCTGAGGCACTTCCTAACACAGTGTCTGGCAGGGTGAATGCTCCAGAAAGGGTGTATCTTAAGGTACAACGAGACCACCTATCATCTGCCCCAGGAGTAGATTTTCAAAAAGGATGCTTCCCCTTTTTCAGAACTCCATAGTGCCATCTTGCCTGGGTTATATCCGTCCATCCATTCGTTCATTCAACAAATATTATAGACCTCTACTGTGTGCCAGGCATTGTACTAGGGTTCTATAAAAACGGTACATGCATTTATATTAATATTTAAAATAAAGAAAAATGAAAAGCATTCGACTAGTAAAAGCTTAAGAATGACAAAGAAGATGGGCATACACATTCATGGGAAATTAACATTAGGTTGAACCGCACCTGTATTAAATAGGTAATCTGTTGCGCCTTTCTGCCCTTGATGGCCAAACTTTGCACAATAAGTTAAACTTCCAATATTGAAAAACTCAAATCCTTCAAAGTGTTCTCTAACCCAGCAGAGAAATTTTTAAACCCCAGCCCCAGGCCAAAGAACTTGGAAGCTTTCGCCACATAAGAGCCATCACCATCAGAATGGCTTCTCTGTTTGAACCGAACTTTATTTAATATGAGGGTATAGTCATCAGGAAAGGCTTTTTTTCCTCTGAATTGGCCAGGAAATATTTTGTTTTCTCTTTCTCTTTCATTACAACACGGCTTCCTTTTGGTCTTCTTGCTTTTCGTTTCTTTCCTTTCCATTATATTTTGCATTCTTATCTTCCCTGGAGGCCATGTCATCATCCATTCCACTCATTGCTTTCACTCGCTCAATATTTATTAAATGTCTACTAGTGCCAACAACTTGTCACTCTTCTCCTCAGTCACCTGTAACTGTACCCTATCATCTACTGATTCAAGCCTAAAGCCTTCATTCTAGTTCATTCTTAGAGCTTATTTTCTATAACAACCATGCATACTCCAGATAAGTAGTAGGCAAGTCCTTTGCACATATACCCCATGTATTTTCATTTTTATGCCTCTGTTCTCCTATGGTGTCCCCACTTCCAGCAAATTTTTTCAGCAAATTTTCAAACACTAAAATCATTTTTATCCATAAATGCTTTGTTAAAGACTCATTTCCTGCATGTAGCTATCCAGTTTTCCCAGCACCATTTATTGAAAAGAGATTCTTTTCCTCAGTGTATGTTTTTGTCACCTTTGTCAAAGATTAGATTACCATATGCAGATGGTTTCATCTCTGGATTCTCAGTCCTGTTCCAGAGGTCAATGTTTCTATTTTTGTGCCAGTACCAAGCTGTTTTAATCACTACAGCCTGGTAGTACAGCTTAAAGTC